AGGCCGCGGCGAATTATCAACTCCATGCCATAGCCACCCTCACCTCCCTCCCGCACGGCAGTGAGGGGGTTTCGTCGCCGTCCTAGTCTCCCATGCGCCGCTCCCCTCGCTCGTGCATGGGCTTATGGAGCCACTGTTTCCTCCCACGTGCACAGGCCTCGGAGCTACCGTTGCCTTGCTTGCGCGCCAGCAAGCGGCGGCTAGAACGCGGAAGCGCAGTGGTCGTCGAAGATGCGGGCCGCAAGAGCGCAGAGTGGCCGCAAGCTAGCACCGAACGTCGGAAACGCAGTGGTTGCCTGAGGGCGACCGCCAGATCTCTGACATCACGGCGCTAGGGAACAGAGTCACAGAGATGCGCTGCCGTGCGCGAGGTGGATGCCATTGCCTCTGCGGCTGCATTGCTGACCCCACGTCACCGCCACCAAATCTCTGATTCGCCACAACAGCAGAATCTCGCTCACCTCGTGGCTCAGTGAATAATGGATGAGGCTAGCTCGCTCGAATAGATAAGACCACCCCGGCCACCATTTCAGCCTGTTTTTTTTAGAGGCAGTAGTTGGGCTGGAGTGGGCGGCCCATCATCGAGAGCATTCGGCGCTGACGGAAGCCCTATGCCAAAAATTACCGTTAGATCAATGCAAATCGCACTTTATCCATTCTTTTGTTCGTTCTTTACAACACCAAAACACGTTATCATATCAGCATGTTTGAGATCGAGCAGAAGCAGCAGTCTGCAAACTCGCCGATGATAAGGTGAAAAAATGGAGTCAGCCTGCAGCAGTTAACTGGTCCGAGGCCCATGGCACTATGACGCGGGAGATGGGCTGACGAACCAGAGTTTGCCCAAGAACAAAAACAGACTGGAATTTGCTCAAAAAAAAAACCCCAAACTGGAATAGATTTGTTGAGATATATAAAAGAAAAAAGCCCATCCGAACTTCCTTAAGTATTGCATGAGCCCAACTTACCTCCCTCGATTTTTAAAACTGGAGTTTTATATTCCAAATCCATTCCGGCGATCGTTCATTGATTTTTTGGCCAGCGAACGATCAGACCGGGTTTGTACGCGCCTGCACCTGCCCCATTCAGGTGCTTGTCGTCACTTTTAAAAAAGCGAACCATTTATTTAAAATACTATAACCTCTAAACGGTATATCCATTCTCAATTCCGTCTACACCGGTGTATTTTAAGCGTCGAGACGAACAAAATTAGATCTCACTTGCATATGTTTTAAAGAATTTTTTTAGTAGCAATTTATGTATATTAACTTATAACATAGAATTTATAACTTATAATAGAAATTATACATATATGTTATGGTACGTAACTTATTTCTATAACTTATACTGATAAGTTGAGCAATATAACATTTTGCAAAACAAAACTTAGCACCACAACTTATAACATTAACTTATACTATATAACTTATAACTTAAGTCAAAATTTGAAAACGCAAAAGTTACGAAATACAACTTTTTATTTCTTCCCTTTTTTCCTCTTTTTAATTTTTATAGTAGTCTATCAATTTTTCTTTTATGCATTCTACCAACATATCTGCTAATATGTTATGATATTAATTTGTATATCTAAATTGTATAGAATAACTTATGTACGTAAGTTGCGTTTGATAACTTTTTTGTAGAAAAAGTTGTGTTTTGTAACTTTTTATGTCTCTAAGTTTTAATTATAAGTTATATGTGATATGTTATATGTTATGAGTTAGTTTGTTACTAAAATTTTTTTTCGAAACATATGTAAGTGGGGTCTAGTTTTGTTCGTCTCGTCATGTAGAACACACCGGTGCAGACGAAATTGAAAATGGATAAACTGTTGAGAAGTTATAACATTTTGAAATATATATTTTTCGTGGGTCTAACACAGTTAAAACTGAGTAGACGCATGCAGCATTTCGCTCACCTGCTCACGGGAAAAGAGAACGAGTATACATGTCATTATCCAATTAAGGTGCCATACGTAAATTAATTTTTTTTTTCTTAAAAAGGAAGGTGTCGCCTGTCAAAAATTTGTTCGCGCGTTTTTCCCATGAATGAGCGTTCGCGAATCATCCACACCGATTTTACATTATGCAAACTCTTAAAACTGTCTGACATACCTTCCTGAGCGGTTTTGAAAAGCGATTTTAGCTCATGTGGCGCTACACCACTCTACCTATGTGACGCCACATGAGCAGTGAGGGAGGTAAATCGGACTTTTGCCGTAGTTCAGAGAGGTCAATTAGATTTTATAAAAAAACATTGTAGAAATATGTTTTTAGAAAACTAACCAGATAGTTTTTCTAGAATAAATATGCATTTAAAATACTAAAATATGGCTTAACACAAGAAATTTAGTTATAACTCATGGAAACCTTAAACTAGTTTCATATTTTTTTCCCTAAAATCAGACTTTATACTAAAATCAGGTCCCTTTTCACTGTTCCTATTTTTCTTGTTGCAGGTCTTCTACCGTCTATCCTAAACAAGGCAAAAGATCAGGGTCTATCCTAAACGCGGACGACACTCTAATTGTTTTAGAAGCATCTAGCCGTCAACTAGTAGCTATTAAAGCACGTCTCAATTCTTTTGGGGGCTTATACAGGATTGAAAGTTAATTATTCAATTCATGATGATTCCAGCGAACATCTAATTGCACCAAGGGAAACCTCCGCTTCACCGATCTAGGCTTACCTCTAGGAATCACTAAGCCAAAGGTGGACTGATTTCACCCCTAGATTGGCAGCTATCTCGGTGTTTTTAAATTAAGTTGGGAAATTAAAACTGATAAATTCAGTCTTCTCCACTCTGCACTTTCAAGTTTCATTCAACAGCCACTGATGAAATTGACAAATATAGGAAAATTTGTTTATGTTGAGGTGCTAACCCAAAAATAAAGGAACCCTGAAAGGCGGCATGGCCCATGGTTTGCATGCCAAAGCCCTAAAAAAAACCACAATGAAACCCTCTTGTTGAAACACCTTCATAAATTCTTCAATAGGGTTGATGTGCCATGGGTTACTCGAATTTTGGGAAAGTTATTATAGTAATGGAAGTATGCCTAGTTCAATAAAAAAGGCTCATTTTGGTGGATGGACACAATCAAACTCTTAGACAAATCCAAGGTTGTGGTTTTGTAAGTCTGCATAATGGTAAAACCTGCCTTTTTATGGAAATACATTTGGAATAGAATGGTACCCCTACCGTCCTTCCCTACTTTTACTCATTTCCAAAAAGGATAACAGTGGTAGAGGCTAAGCAAATAATGCATCTGCATATCATGTTTCATTTACCATTATCCGAACAAGCCTTCTACCTTGCTCTCCAAACAGCAGTAACTAAGCTTCAAGGCATAAAAAAAAGTAACTAAGCTTCAGCTAAATGATGACAACTAGGAAGATCCGCGCGCTCTGCTGCGCGCGGAGGGGAAACGGAAGAAGAAAAGCAAAGGGAAAAATAAAATAAAATACAAAAAGAATAAAAAATGTCGTGTCAGCTACAGTACCTAAGAGTGGCCGGGACAAGGAAATAAAAAGTAAAATTTTAAAATAAGAAAATAAAAATATCAACAGCTACAGTGTCTAACAGTGCCGAATCTCTGAGAGCCTAGGAATTCCTGGCGTGTTAAAGAAAGTAGTTATAGTTATGACATATGACACTACATTTAGGGATATCAAGATTCCTCATCTAGAAAAGCTTATAGATAGTTAAAGCCCCCTTTGACACGGCTTATCCAAAACGGCTTCACCGGTGAAGCCAAAGTCGGCGAAGCCAGAAAAACTGGTTTTTTCCGGCTTCTAGTTCATTTTAACCCCAGCTTACAAAACGGCTTCACGCTATAGTGCCTCGATTTGTACAAAATAGATGAAGCCGAAGCCGGCATAAGCCGTGCCAAAGAGGCCCTAAGTAGCAATGCAGTGGTCCACCCAATTTCCAAATGACTTTGGAAGGGCTTATGTGAGAACAAGCACATGGTTTTCTTTTGGGTTCTCAAAAAGATAGACTAAGCACCAAAGATCTTATTAGGAGAAGGTACATGAATCTTCCAGGCTATCATTGTGTTCTATCCAACATTGGATGAATCTACTGAGCACCTATTCATCAACTGTCCATTATTTTGCGACGACTTTTTGGGATATTCTCAACCTACATAGTGCTGCACAATTAGACCCTTTTTCTACTCAAACAGAATTCAGACATCAGCTTAACCAAGTGTTCTTCATGAAAGTAATCATACTACTAATGTGTTAGAGTAGCATTTGGATGTCTAGAAACAACAAATTTTCCAGAAACATGCCAACTTCAGCTTAAGATTGCAAGGCCATTTTCAGTCCAGAGTTTGCATCCCTCTTATGGCATGGAACTAAAAAATATTTCCCTCGGATTCAAGAATTGTTTACAAACCTCCTCTAGCATCTATTATCTCTCTTGTTGTCTTCCTTTTTTTTTCGTTCCTTTCTTTGAATCCTGAAGTGTTTTCCTTTCATACTAGCTTTTATTTATGTCGTTTAAAATATATCCAGTAAGGGCTACGACCCTTCCCGTTTCAAAAAAATAAAATAAAAATCAATGCACTCATCAGATTTAGAAAGATCTATGCTGAATTTTAGAAATGGGAAGATCAAATTATTGCGTATAATAAGATCTTGAATTTGTACCTTTCTGCGTGGTACAGGAAACATTGAGTTGCTGCCGTTGTCTTGGATGAATCAAGCGGCGATAGCCAGGAGGCAGCGTTTTGCACTTCTTCGATGATGAGAGAAGAAAAAGTAGATGACTCTGTGGGCCGGTGGGCTCCAATGTACCAAGTCGAAGCAGTGCACTGCATGCGCGTGCTTGGCGCGAATGAAGCCCTTGGAAATCTAGGAATTGGGTTTTGTGATTCGGAGTCCGTCAAGTCGTCACGACCGCCGATAGTTAGAGTTCCTCAGATTTTGTGACCCCTCTTTCCTCCCAGTCACCGCAAGCAAATTGACCAGTCACTTGTGCTACATTGGCTGTCGCTCATGGAGCCACTGATGCTGCTGCCACTCACCGTCCTCCTGTCATACCTTGGCCACGGCACTGGCGCCGGCGCAACGCCTCCGCGGTTTAACTCCATCTTTAGCTTCGGCAACTCGTACGCGGACACTGGGAACTTCGTCCTCCAGTGCGCCGGCCTCCCCTCCGTCCCCTTCAACCAGTCTCCCTACGGCGAGACCTTCTTCCGTCGCCCCACCGGCCGCCCCTCCGATGGCCGCCTGATAATCGACTTCATTGGTACATACACCACCACTCCTTCTGTCCTCCATCTTGTAAGTGTACATATGCGATTGATCTGCACGCGCATGCAGCGGAGGCGCTACAAGTCCCTCTCCTCCCACCGTTCCTGTCGTCGAGGCAGCCCCACCAGGACTTGGACTTCAGCCGCGGTGCGAACTTCGCCATCGTCGGCGGCACGGCGCTGGACGTGGGGTTCTTCCTCCGGCGCAGCGCGGCCAGCGTGCCGCCGTTCCGGAGCTCCCTGCGCGTGCAGATCGGGTGGTTCCGCAGGCTGAAGCGGTCGCTCTGCAACACCACTACTGCGGCCGCGGCCGCGGGGTGCAAGGACCGCCTGATGGCGAGGTCGCTGTTCGTCGTGGGCGAGCTGGGCAGCAACGACTACGGCTACATCCTCGCCGGCGGCAAGAGCCTCTCGGAGGCCAAGTCCTTCGTCCCGGAGGTCGTGAAAGCCATCTGCAGAGGCATCGAGGTATCTATTTTTTCGTTTGCGATCGATCCAGTTCCCCAATTGTATGTCACTCGTCACACGGTGAACTCTCTGCGCGGGCGTGCTCGCAGAGGCTGGTGGAAGAGGGAGCGAGATACATGGTGGTGTCGGGGACGCTGCCGGCGGGGTGCTTGCCGATGGCGCTGACCAAGTACGGGTACGGCGCTGGAGGGAAGGGGAAGGGGAACGCGACGACGGAGTACGATCGGCGGACGGGGTGCCTGCGGCGGCTCAATGGCCTGGCGCAGTACCACAACTGGATGCTGCGGGAGGCCGTCGGGCGCATGCGCCGGAAGTACCCGACCACCAAGCTCGTCTACGCCGACTTCTACCGGCCGGTGGCGCGGCTCCTCCGGCGGCCCGCCAAGTTCGGTGAGTCCTTCAATTTCCTCGGTTGCTGTCACATTTCGCTACTGTAGAATAGAAATGTAGAGTATGAATCAAACCAGCATCGATCGTTGTTGACAACTAGAGGCCTACGCTACAGCAATGCACGTGATCTCTGAACATAAGTCACCATAAAGGCAAATGTCTCCCGCCATGCTGCACGGTACATCTATACGCGCGTAGATAAGATAATTGTATAGATTAAGTAGCCAAGTCAAACGTGTTGGTGATATCTAAAGCAATGAGACCATCAACATTGAACAGCACTTATTGTGCTTCCAAGAGTTTTGAAGTCTTCGAAAATTTTGGAATCTTGAAGTACGCCAATCCATGCATTGAACACCAACAGCACAATCAGCAAATGCAAGAAGCATGTGGTAACAGTATGACATTCGATCGGCACAACCAGATTCTTCAAGCTTTTTGATCGAGGTGGTCCATGCAAGCAGTAGTGTTTTCTTTTCCTTCATTTTCTAAGTACAAATTATTATTTCCCATTCAAATCATAGGTCGTTTTGACTTTTGTAAGTACATAATACACGCATGTCTAGAAAAGCTAAAACTATTTATAATTTAGAAGGAATGGAGTAGTCAATATGTAAGATAAAGTTCTAAGAAGTATATATACTACATAAATGATTTTTAGAGTATTTTTCAGTGGTGGCTCCATAAAAAAACATCTCTAAAAACGATTACAGAGATGACCACCTCTAAAAATCAATTTTTGGACATAGTTGGTGTTTCCAATTACCCCTAGAAATGTCATATATTTTTGCCTCTAAAGAGATGGCTAGAAGCATCAATTGCCTCTAGAAATCGATTTGAGGTGGACCGTTATGACCCGTCCGCCTCTAAAAATAGACGCAATACCAAAAAAAGTTATAATATTTTCAAATGAAGTTGTATGAGATGAACTTTATATCAAAATGTAGACCTTGAAGAGATCTACAACTTTGTAGTCGACAATTTTTCTATTTGAAATTGTTTATGGTCCCAGAAATATGTTTCAAGTTCTCAGATTTTGAAGTCATTTTTTATTGTTTCAATTCAAGCAAGCACGATGGAGTGACGCACACTAGCAAGGTTGTAGGACTCAACGAGATCTTAAATATTATAGCTCAAACTTGTTTCATTTAAATTTGTTTATAGCCCCAAATATTTAATACAAGATTCGTGAAGTTTAATAAAAAAGGATAGCATAATACTTCTCACAAGTGATTTTATGGCACAGTGGTAGAGAAGGCTTGCCCAGGGCAAGGAGTCTTGAGTTAGGGAACCTCAGAAATAGCATGCTGGCCGATTTTCATTTTCTGAAAAATAATTTTTAGAGATGGGCCAAAGGACAATCGACTGGCTCTAAAAATTGATTTTCTAGCCGCCTCTAGATAGTGTTCATTTCTAGAGACACTTGGGTAGAAGCGGTTGAAACTCCCACCTCTAGAAATCAGTTTCCAACCGTGAGTGAAAATGGATTATGTGGTCTGTATTAAACTTTAGATCATTTTTGCTATATTAAACTTGAGATTTAAGGACTTGATTGCACAACTTTAGCTCAGAGGCTTAGGCTGCCAACTAGTTTGTAGACTAGGCTAAAGTGGTTTAGATATTTATATTCATCCTAAGCTATCATCAAAATAATCGAAAAAAGGCTATCATCAAAATGATCTATGGATTGGTTTTGTTGACACTACCCAAGGAACAAACTATTAGTGTTGATTAATGATTATCATTACATCTCAATTTTATTATTGATAAATAGTGCTTGTTAGTTTCTAATGCATTCCATACTGGTTCAGGGTATAGGAGGCTATATATAGGGAATAGGGTAGGATGGACAAGTCCTTTAGTAAAGATGCATCTAAAGATGAAAACTTTCTAACCCTTTCAATGCAAAATTTTTCCTTGACGTAGTTTACTCACAAAATTTTTCCATATGTTGCTTGATCATTTTAAATTAATATTTTCATTTGCATTCCTTATTATATCTTTTATATCATTTATTAGTTTACCGCCACTAAGATTTTTTTGCCATTGGTTATTCAGCCCTCCCATTGACCTGTTTCTGGCTCCACCACTGGTTCTAACGTCACTAAAAAAATTCTGGAGTTTGATGGTATACAACCCTGTCATCTGTCTGATAATAGTAAGAGTACCTGTATGTGAAGACCCTAGCAATATCCCCAGGAAAAAGTCATATATGTGTGCAAACTTGTGAGGGTTCAATGGTCCTACTCCCTAGGAGTTGTTTAAATTGCTGTTGTGAGGGGTCATGCGACTGATGCACATTTGCCTTGCTTGTCTACATACTGACACAATCTCGCATTGTGATCTTGCATAAGTACAACATGGCTGCCAATTGCCATTGTACTGACTTTGGTTTTGGTTTAATTTGCAGGGTTCACCGAGGAGCCTATCCGGGCGTGCTGCGGCGGAGGCGGGCCATACAACTACAACCCTGGGGCAGCCTGTGGCTCACCTGGCTCCACCGTTTGCCGTCAGCCGTCTGCGCATGTGCACTGGGACGGCATTCACTTGACCGAGGCCGCCTACAAGTACATCGCCAATGGTTGGCTGAATGGGCTTTACGCCTATCCCTCCATCCTGGACCTGCTGCAATAGGTTAATGCAAATCTTGTTTCACTCGTTAACAGTTTCAGAGTAGTCGTGCACGGTTTTTTTTGGTTACCAAAACATAGGCAAATCTTGTTTCACACGTTAAAAGTTTCAGAGAGTTGGCTGTTGACTAAAGTTTACAAGTGATGATTAGACCCGTCATTTGCAAAAAGCATTACCCAATTCTCAACAGAACACAATCCCCAAGCATGATAACCACTCAGTATAGAAGATGAAGCAGGTTCTGTAATTAAGACTGAATGGGCCGTTCCGGTTCTCATGAATTCATGGATACAGGACACAACGTGATTTTTTAAGGAAGTCGGCAGGGAAGTCCCCTACCTAATTTCTTTTCCATAAAGGAGATTGAATGAATATTTACAAATTACGAGACCTTACGCCCAACAAAAAGAAGAGGAGGAAAACAGCCTATGTGAAATTCTCTTTCCAAGAGACCACTCCAGAGTAAGATCCCTTTGACCACCTAGGGCGCCGTTAAGGCGTGTTGTATTAAACTTTTCATCTATCTTAATTCAAAGACGTGCAAACCTTTTGCATGATCGAGAAAAAAAGAGAGTAAGATCCCTTTCACTTTAGGCTTGGCCTTGATGATAACCAGCGCAAGCTCCTCTCTGAAATGATGTTTCCAAACTTGAAGTAAGAGTGATCATTGTCGAAAATAATGCTATTTCGGAGCTTCCAAATAGTACAGCAGGTAGTTATAATCAATTCTCTGAAGATACAGCTTCCAAAGCTATTTCTGTCTTCAATGATCATATCAAGTGATTGGAGAGTTAAGTTCCAGACAATGTGGAGGAAGGCCCGGGGCAACTGACTCAATATTCAAAGAACAGGTGGAGTAAGATCTCTTCACATCTGGAGCTGCACAAAACTCAATTATGGTCACCCAAGTGTTTATTTTTCTTCTGAGCAAGTTCCTGGTATTTGATCTCTCTCTGATGAGAAGCCAGAAGAGTTTATGGTCGCCAAAAACACAGGAGTTCCAAAGCCACTTGAAGAGAGGTGATGATAGCAAAAAGCCTATTAGCTGTGTGTATGCTTTCTTGGAACTGAAAGTGCCAGAACCCCAAATGTATTCCCACTTATCTTTTTTTTTGAAAGGGTATTCCCACTTATATCTACTAAGGAGGGATCCACTTCCCAGTCGTGAAATAGGGCTTGAACCTCAGCTAGCTGTTCAGAGGCTAGAGGAGAGAGGCAAGAAACAGTTTGGGTTTCTGGCAAAGAACAACCGAGGAAAACTTGTTTGCAGGGGACTAGAGTTCCAAATATCTTTCCAAAATAACAAGGAGTTAATCTTGTCTACCGAGCAACAGGCCCAGAAGCCTGTGGGAATCAGAGGTTTAAGATGGCCTTCCACTAGAAAGAGCCAGCTGGGCTCCTGGAATGGGGTGGAGTAGTGTTGGCTCTCATCAACATGCCTTTATACTCATCAACGTGACAATCATCAACATGGAGCTCAAAGTGAAGCCAATTCTTCTTTCTCCCCTTTATACTCTTCGAGTAAACGATACAATACAAACATTATCCATCTCTTCTTGCACTTTGCAGCTCATAGCAACCAGACAACAGTTACTGCAACCGACCACCACACACGCCCATCTTTTTTTCCCCTTTTCCTTTTTTGGAAGGAACGCGTTCTTCTTGAAGTTTTTACAAACTAATAGTACTATACACCCTTCAACTACCACACACCACTGTACATGTGTGAAGGAACACAAAAATGTATTGTCAAGCATCACATCCAAGAATGAAAAATACATCAATTGGTTATGTATCGAAACTGAGATTTCCTGCTTCCCACAATGCGCATCTCAGCATTCCAGTGTCTATACCATATCACCTAATATGCCTTTTTTTTTTGTTTCCCTCATTTGGACGAAAAAGTTCGACTCTTAGGTCGTGGTGGCCTCGCTTCATGCTCGGGGGCATCACTCCTGCCACTGTTATTCTTGCCCCGCAGTGGCTCAGTTTCTGAACTCTCAGGGATTCGGTTTTGTCGATGTCTCCTTTCCTGCAGACCCAGTGACAAGTGTTACTCTTGTACAACAGTATATCACTAATTAAAACACAGCCATTCACTAGGTATATGCTAAGCATCAATGTCACACCGAATGTTAAGTACAAAAAAGGTGATTTAGCAGGTGCACTATGCCTGATACTCTAGGCAGGGGCCATATCCTGTATCAGATACAGATATGCAGCCAATATGCGTTGGATACATCCTTGAAGTATACAAAATAAAAACAAAACTCAAAATATCGTATACTTTGGCCAATACATTTTAGCCCATGTGCTCAAAACGGTCCAACCCAGAACGCCTATGCATTAGGCAGCTCCCACCACTCCCCCACAGCACCAACAGGAGGCTAACCATGGCATCACTGACTTACCTTCCAACTTAAGTCATCATTCGTTTAGGAGTTTATCTTCTGTAAGTTAGGAATGATAGGATCACATCTATAAATCCCATCTATAGGCTCATAAAGAGAGGCATGCATCATACTAGTTCATAAGCAACAGTAAAGAGTTAAGCTTCTTCTCTTCTCTATCCAGCCTCCTACATCCCTTTGCTGCTGCCCTAGCCGTGCCAGGGGCCTCCATGGCCCTGGCCACCTCTGCCGTACCCAATAAACCTAGACCGTGACAGTTCTAAATGGAACTAAATAAACAAATTCAAACCTCTTGAGGTATGGGTTCGTTAGAATCCAACATCCGGACCACCTGGTCCATGCTAGGCCTCTTCTCGGCATTCAAATCGATACACCTCAGAGCAGTCAAAAGGGCACGTTTCAGCTCCTTTGTCGAAGGTCTTCTCTCCAGGTTTGGGTCCACCACTTCTTCAGAACGTCTGTTGGCAACCATCATTTTAAGCCAGTCAACTAGGTTTACCTACAGGAGAGCAGCAACACATCAGAACATGGAAGGACTATCGAATATAACAGTTTGGAATTTATCAGCTGATACCTTATCTTCTTCAGTGAGTTGTAAGATATTTTTATTAACCTGAAAATTCTACATGCAACTTTTGTACAAAAGTTGAAGGATCTTTGCAGGTAGAAAAGATTCCATATGCATTCACCCATATGAACTAATCCCTCCAGCTTTAAATATATAACATCAGGACCAACCTAATTAGTACAAAAAGAACTAATTAAGTTGGTCCTGACGTCATATATTCAATCAAGATGAAGTACATCAGTTATCAGTAGACTGAGCTTTATGGATGTAGCAGCAGTGAAATCATAGATTGGAGAAACAAGATAACAGGTATAGGATAATACTAAGTGGCATCGATCCATCCACATTGACTTCATAAAGCTACTTGATAAGCTGACGTTCTACCAACTTCGGAGATTTTTTTGCTAAGGTGTATAAACATGATTCAAAACTCAATGCTGCATTTGGGGTAGACAGTCTTGTTTGTTAAAGAGTTATCACTAACCTTCCACGCTTTTATGTTGATGATGAATAGTTAACAATTGGTACAGAAATTAAGAAAAGGTTAAGTCACAGAAGATAAACAGACCAATAAGGATGCTGGAGATGATTAGAAAAGGATATTTGACAAGTATTACCTCATTTGTAGGGCGCTCATAGTCGATTGGATCTCTACCTGTAATAGCTTCCAACAGAACAACCCCAAAGCTATAGACATCACTCTTTTCATTTAGAAGTCCACTGTTAGCATATTCAGGTGCAACATAGCTGTGAAAGAATAAAACAAATAGAGTAAAGCTATTGAATAGTAGCAACAATTTTTTCTCAAAATTACAATGGACAAGATTTGATGAATATACAAAGAGAAAGTGCCTCAGATATACAAAAGTATAAAAAACTTACCCAAAGGTACCCATAACTCGTGTAGCAATATGACTTTTACCAGCACCAAGCATCTTGGCCAAACCAAAGTCTGATATTTTGGCATTAAACTCATCGTCAATCAAGATATTGCTGGACTTGATGTCACGGTGCACAACTTTTGGTTCAATTGCCTCATGTAAGTAAGCAAGGCTGTAGATTTAGCACTCTATATCAAATTTATGTTTTACAACCAGTGACAGATAGCCAAGAAAATAGGATCTATCTAATCGCCAAACAGGGGATGGCTATGTTATTTCAAATAAAAACAATAATAGTTTAATATAATCATGATCAAATTATAAAATGGTACCAGAAAACGATAAGAACCATAAGACTGTCTCACAAAAAATGATATGACCCACGAAATAGTAACAAGGACTGCTTCAGAGCTGATCTGGGTCAAAACTTATATTTGTTCACAACAGTATAGATGATGATTTCAAGTGACTAGTATAAACATAGTAGCCAATCAAGAAGTTGTACAATTGAGATGTGTAACAATCAGATTTGCCATTTTGTTAGCCTTCGATATTAAGTGGTACAGATCCAGTCAATTCACACTTTGTAAATCTTTGGATTGCGAAAATGGTGTAAAAATGGCATTGCTGAAACAAAAACAATAAAAAAATCAGATTATATTTGGTTAAGGAGTTACTCACGCCTTTGCAGTTCCCAAAAGAATTTTCATGCGAGCTAACCAAGTGAGAGAACTGTACTGGGACAATTCCCCATGGAGCCAACTTTCAAGATTTCCATTATTCACATACTCATACACAAGCATCCTGGTTGCATATATATGTCAAGTTATTCCTGTTAGTGACTTCCCTTTCTCTTTATTACAAAAAGAATAATGCATACGACATCATATTTTAGAGAAAAATGAAAATGGTGTCTTCATGTTCTTACCTTTGAGTACCCTCAACACAGTAACCCAAAAGGCGGACCAAATTCTTGTGGCGGACATGGCCAATTGCCTCAACTTCCACTCTGAATTCTCTCTCAGCCTGTCCTCTGCACATGGCAGACAGTTGTATTATAAGAAAGAAAGCAGAAGGGTAAAGGCATGTACTGCCACTGCATGAATCAAAAACTTCTATAGAAAAAGCTCACAAATTGTTAAGGATTTTCTTGACAGCAACTGGTGTGCCATTTGATAATCTGCCACGATACACAACACCATATCCACCCTCACCAATTACATTATCCTTTGCAAAACGGTTGGTTGCAAGCTCTAGATCTCTGAGGGTGAACCAATGGCCCCAACCAAGATAAGAAAATTCAGGTAAGCCCGCCAATGGTGCAGAGTCAACAGTAGCGTGCGTTGAAGACTGTTCATCGGCAGAAACAATCTGAGTTCCCTCACAGCCATCCGTAATGGGAAAAGAACCAGAAACATTGTTCTCTTCTCTTTGTTTCAACTTTTCCTCCTGAGCCAACTGAATTGCATCTCTATCAACTGATTCAACAGGCTCAGGCTCATTTTGAATAGTGAGTAGAAGCCCATCATGAACAACAAAATCATTGGCTGGAAACTGGTCCACCATCCCCACTTCCTTGATATCTTTGTATGCTGGAGGTATCTGGTGCATTCGACGGTCCTTGAGTGGCTTGCGTGACCTCTTGATACAACTTTGAATGGTAAGGCATATGAGAAGAATGAGAAGAATACCCAAGAGGGACGCTCCGACAGCGATTCCAATCACAACCCAAAGTTTAAGGCCAAAGACAATTGTTTTCTCATGTAGCGATTCGGTTAGACTGGAGTTTGATGACATTTTTTTATATCATGAAATACCTGCAAGAGGATAAGAACATGTCATGGAAAAAATGGAAATATATAACAATTAACAAGATTGCAATTGCAGTGTAGGCTGAGCTGGTCTTAATGAAGGTGTTGCTCAACTGCTCCTTGAACAGATTATCAAATGGCACCCCAGTTGCTAATGAAGGCTGAATAGTGTGACATACTAATTAATCAGGAGAAAGCAACATTGTAACCGCCTAAGAACAAGACCAACCAAAAGTCTTTTGTGGACTCTATATCTACATGCACATTCAGAGGAGTGTCAGGTCCTTATTAATTTTAAGCAATTGCATTTCCACAACCTACACGGCAGCATCAACCGAAGCAGCCCAATTATTAAAGTTAAATTTCCTATTAGATTAGTTTGTTCAACAATCCTTAAAACATCAAAAGGTGGATCATTTATAGTAGCAGGCAATGTCAGTTTACAATACAAATCTAACCCAGGCAATCCCTACTTGCTTGGTGGATAAACAGCACTAGCTGCTATTAATCATAAGCATTTGAACAATTTCTTTTTCAAGACCATAAAAAATTGCAGAAGCAGACGGCGTACACCAAAGAGAAGCTGTTAGTGAGACACTTACAGTTAAAGGTTGGCGCGGCGAAACAAAATCCAGTCTTTACTGGAGAAGCTCAGTAATGACGGCGGACGCAAACCATCCTAAATCTGAGTGGGCTCATCAGTGTCGGTCCGGGCGCAGGACACGGGAGTTGAGTTGAACCCAAACAAGTCCTGCTGCGACTTCGATCTCGAGTGCCGGAGAAGTAATCAAACCACGGATGATGCAGACACGCAACTCTGAAATCCACACCAACCTGAATGTTGAGAGCAAAGGGGAGAGATTTGGATCTGAATGCGAAGACGAAGAAGGGAATCCATCCAAGAAAAGCAAGCGAGGAGCTTTTGCTTACTGGCCAACAGCAATGGGCAAAGACGAAAGCCAATCGACGTACGGATGGGCGGATCTGCACTCCACTACCACCGCCACCGCCACCACTGGACGACGACGAGACGAGACGAGAAGAGAGCCGCGGGCGGGCGGGAGTGGGGCTAAAGCCGCGGCGTCCGTCGCGTGGAGGATCCAGGCCAGCGCCAGCCGAGAGAGGGAGGGACCGGCACTGGCACTGGCAGGCAGGCGGCCTCGTGCCGGGCCGTGCTCGTTTTGGAATTTCTAGAGGCGTGTGTTGTGCTGGGGGAGTGCGTGCGCGGCGTGGGGGCGGTTGGCCGGTCGATCGCAGCCACCTTCCGAGTTCCGACGGTCGGTCGCTCCCCTGCGCCTGCTAGTGCCGCCTGCCGCACCGCACTTGCTTCGTTTACAAATTTTCACGGCCACGTCCACGCATCTTTACTTCCTCAGCAATACTGCCGGCCGCAGCTGGTTCAGCAGGACGCGCGCCGGAGTGCTGGCGGACCTGTGAGTGAGGGGCAAGGGAGACCGACGGAGCTGCTGCCAGTGCGGCGACGTGCCAGGTGAGCGAGCTCTGGCTCAGTTCGCGTCACGTAGCGCCGCAGTAAACGTGAAGTAAAGCGGACGGCGTGACGCTTTCCGACGCGGAAGCAAACCCATCATCGTCGTCCATCGATACGGCCCCGGGTTCAGTCGGGGGGCAGGTGTGGTGTGGATCATGTGTGACAAAGAAAGGAAGGGTATAGAAGGAACAATGCGATAGAATATAAGATGAAAGAATTCCTGTAGTGATGGGTAAGGTCCAACTAACACGAGTGCGCATCTTAGATGGGCTGTTGTTGTCTTGTTTACTTCCTTCACTGTATATACGATTCTGCTCTCCATTAGATTATGCATTATGGATATGCCATGGGATCTTCTGGGTGACAGCAACGTCATACTCTTCGTTGATCTCATTATTACTCTCAAGGCGTCCTCGGGGTCTAGGACTGGAGGCCAAGTTTGTATAAACAAATGGATTTTTGAAACTTGAATATCACCCCCCCCCAAGTAAACTAATTTTTTGATAAGAAAAAACATGAGTAGTGTCTCGATGTCTAACACTAGACTATATTCCAACTACCTAGCTCGTCCTTATAAAACACGAAAAAGTCTATTTTTGGCCCTCTAACTATGGCTGCAGTTTGTTTCTAGCCATCTAACTCGAAAACCAGACACGCGCAGTCCCTTAACTCTCAAAACCGTTTAAAATTGGCCCTCGCGCCCATTCAATCGTGGTTTCGGCCCAGTCAAACCCACCACCGCGGTTTCGGCCCGGTCTCCATGCGCCGAGGGAGGCACGGCGGGGTGCGCACGGCTGGCGGCTCCCGCAGGCGGCGGCGCGATCCGCATCACCTAACTTTGTCAAACCTATAGTATTGAGCTCATTGACAATTAGATTTAGAACAGAATACATATATCTCTAACAAACATATGAGCTCATGCAACTTTAACCATATTTCATTTGCTTTTGTTAGGGTGAACACTTTTCATGCTAAAAGATTCAAACAAGCAATTTTTAGCTATTACATTTAGATGAATTTCTTTTTCATTACTCGTCATGGGGTTTTCGAGATTCTTTAGGGGTTTCATCTCGTCACGAGTTGCTCTCCAACCACCCAAATCTACTACCTTAAGGTAGCAAGCCATTCTAGCATTCTAATAGGGAAATTCAGTTAGTGCCATCAAAGTGTGGAGGCCTAAAAGTATCCATCATTCCTTCTGTAAATAATGTTGCCTCAATGGCGTTTAAGCTAAAGGTCTAAATTGAGCCAACCAACTCTAATACCACTTGAAGGGACCGTGACGCCTAAGAGGGCAGAGGTGTGAACTAGGCTTTCTAAAATCTACTTCTAAATTTTGGCCTCTAGTTTCCACCTAGTCAAAACCTATGTAATAAAAGAATCTATATAGATGTGCAAAACTAAGGTTTTGCTAGGTGTGTTGCTATATCTACCTCAAAAGAGTTATGTATTGGTGTTTCTTAGCGTAAGCAGAAGAAATCCATAAGCGCATGGATACACTATTATAGCACTTCACCCGAAGTATTCAGGGTATCGTATTTTCTCAAAGGAATAAATGTGAAAGGTCTCTCAAGCTAGTTCACCTAAGAAAACAAGAAGGATACCTTAGGTAGTAAGGTTCTTCTAAGGGCAGAGATCCTAAGTAGAGATAACATTGTCACTATAGACTTGCTTCGGGCACCGGAGAACACTTGGTCTGCCAAGCGTTGCCGGCCTATGGCTCTACGCCGAACCCGAATGTGGGGGATTACAAAGGACGGACAGAGCTGTCACCACCTGCCGCCTACCCCTCAACCATGGGGAACGAGGCAAACGAAAGTAATTTCTAGCTTAGACACCACATCTACGCTATTTGTTACTACTCTAGCAAACAGTAGGCCTGAGAGGCGGCAGGGGGGGTGTGGCCGCACCCTGGGTAGCGCCTCCCTACACCGCCTTCATGGGGGCGGTTGCTGGTTGGACTTGGGCCTTGTTTTGATGGGTATGGCCCCTAGAATCTGTAGGTGTTTGGGCCTTCTTCCATTTCTTGGCCTAGATATGCTTTACGCTTTGCCTGTTTGCGTATTTTGACATATGTTTCATACTTGTGTCCTGCAAAACTTATAGACACCAAAACTTGTGGAAAATGTGAGTTGAAAACCCCAATTCTAAGTTTTGGTTTTCACATTTGTTTATTTTGTTAAAATATTGGCAGTTAGAATTATGAGTTAAGCACTGCCAAAAAGCTCCCCCACACTTAGTCCTTTGCTCGTCCTCGAGTAAAGTTCTAAGGACTAAGCGGGTTTATCTCCTTGATTTTGAAATCTGCATACAAGTTATTCCAAGCTTCACTAAACTTGTGAACTTCCAAGTATCTAACAAGATATCTTGGGTAATTGAAAAATGGAATAGCTTGGATTCAAATATTCTCACTCTATCCCTGCTCAGAAACTTGAGTTTTTTCTATGGTTTTTTTGAAAATGAAAGATAGCTTTATGTTCCTTTAATGATTCTCTCATGTCACTCAAATTTGTAAGTGGTTCCTCACCAAGGCATATTTTGAATGTTTGCCTTCTTTTTTGATCATCCTACTTCTAAAAGCTTATATGGAGCTTGAGTAAGGATCAAATTCGAGGCACACTTACCTTTCATATGTTGTTAAGTCAAATTCCGGATCCACCAGAGAGAAGTGTCATACTCTTAGATCAAAACTGTGCAAGTGTGTGGAATTTGGTGGAACTATACTCCTCTATTTGATATGATCTCTTCTTCTAGCTTTTTGCTTTGAGACATGGCTAGCATTATTTTCTCATGAGCCACCATGTGCTCATTTTTTCAATACCTTGGGACCTTCATGTGTCCCATTCTTTCTTTTTCAATACTTTTGGGCACTACTATACTCAGACCTTTCACAGCCGCGTCGTAACCCCCATCGTAGTCCAATTTTGGCCTCAGGAGTAAGATGTCGACAGTGATAGTCATAGCCATCACCATCATCATCTGAGACCGATTGTGGTGTACACTACACCGCTGTATTGGCTTATCATCCGTCCATGATAAGATCCTTACTTCTGTCGCATTAGAGCACGACCTGGCTATGGGTATACACTAACACCGCCACATTAGCAAATTATCCGCTTGTGTTGAGGCTATCAAAACTATCGCGTGGGCACATCAACCACCTATGTAGTGGTTACCAGCACTGTCGCCTTGTACTTTGACCCGACCATCTGTGGTGTGAGTTCGCTGTCCCTTCGACGGCCAAGACATCTGTGTAGAGGTTAACACCACCGTCGCTTCAACGTATGAACCACTAGTACAAAGGTCATGGTCACTGTCGCCTTGCACTACGATCCACCTTTGATGATTGTTTAGTCGGTGTTGGGCGTTACTAAATGATTCGGTAGTGATATACTTTTGATCCCTGCCACATTAGACGTGTAGCGACGGTGTTGGACATTTGCACCACCATCGGTGGCGGTGATAAGAAAACAATGAACGACGCTTACATCCGACAG